AAAATGTACACAAAAATAAAAGAAACGTAAATTAAATAGGAATACAGTCAAGATGGCAACCGACACCCCGACTCGGCCGCAAACCCCTGCAAAGTGGTAGCAAAGATACACTGTGGTGAAAGGACTAAAAGGACTAAAAGTATCTATAATGCATTTGCCAGAAAAGCGAGCATCTTCCTTTTCCTTCCTTCTGAGCGCTTCATCTCGTTGGCAACAGCCTCCCCGGACGTCAGAGAGATAGATCATCCTGCGCGTGAGGGAGGGAAAGCAACAGTACGCAATGGGAAGGGGGGAGGGGGGGAGGGGGAGAGGGGAGGGTGTTTGTGAGGGCACGTGAGAAGTTGTATTCTCCATATAAAGTAATATAAAAAACAATATAATAAAATAAGAATTAAGGACAAGGGAGGGAAAAAAGAGAAAATGTACTTGTTTTGAAAGAGAAAAGAAAATATAATGTATTTAAACTTTTTTATATTAATTTTCTTATGTTTACTGTTTTTGTTTTTTTAACTCTGGGAAACTAGCCACAGAGGGATAAAAACGGTGATTTAATGTACCGAAACATTTTATATTTTCATCTTTAAAGGGTTTACTTTTTTTTTTTTTTACTTCGAAAAACTTTTAGTTGGAGAGAGATACTGTTTTCGTTTCGATAAAAGGTTAACACTTTACGGGAAAAAAGGTAATGTAGTCGTAAAAAACGTCTCGCTTTCACACCTCAACCCCCCTACCCCCCCTAAAAAAAAAAAAAAAAAAAAAAAAAAAAAAAACGCTTTTGGAAAATATAACAGGCACGAAATATAACTTTCGTGCGCCTGACACAGACACGAATGTTTACGCGTCTCGGCCTTGTTTACATCTCCGGAAATATGTGACACTGATCTTAAAAGGACGAGCTCGCTGACGTGTCCTAATCACAAGAAACAAGAAAGTCTTTATTCGTCGACGTAAAAAGTACTAAAGAATAACGAGGCAAGTTTAAATGCACACAACAAATTCGGATAGCGAGAAAGACAAAGAGAAGAAATAAAGAGAGAGGAGAGAGAGAAGAGAGAGAAGAGAGAGAGAGAGAGAGAGAGAGAGAGAGAGAGAGAGAGAGAGAGAGAGAGAGAGAGAGAGAGAGAGAGAGAGAGAGAGAAAGAGAAAGAGAGAAAACTTTTTTTTTTCTGTTTTCCCTTTTTAAGGAACAAACGTGAGTAAAGAATAGGAGAGTCTTTATCACAAATTAAGATTTATCATAACTAGCGACTTGAAGTGAGAATAAGTGAAAGCACATTCTTCACTCTAATCACATTCCATCTAAGACATTAACGTCGACAGAGGAGAAAGGCGAACGACATAAGAGATCGTTGCTCTCGGACACGTTGGGAAGAGACAGGAGAGAGAGAAAGAAAGACAGAGAAAGAGAGAGAGAGAGAGAGAGAGAGAGAGAGAGAGAGAGAGAGAGAGAGAGAGAGAGAGAGAGAGAGAGAGAGAGAGAGAGAGAGAGAGAGAGAGAGAGAGAGAGGGAGAGAGAGAGAGAGATAGAGAGAGAAAGGGAGAGGGAGAGGGAGGGTGGGAGGGAGGGAGGGAGGGATAGAGGGATAGAGGGAGAGAGGGAGAGAGGGAGAGAGGGAGAGAGAGAGAGAGAGAGAGAGAGAGAGAGAGAGAGAGAGAGAGAGAGAGAGAGAGAGAGAGAGAGAGAGAGAGAGAGAGAGAGAGAGAGAGAAGAGAGAGAAAGAAAGAGAGACAGAAAGAGAGAGAGAGAGAGAGAGAGAGAGAGAAAGAGAGAGAGAGAGAGAGAGAAGAGAAGAAGAGAGAGAGAGAGAGAGAGAGTGAGAGAGAGAGAGAGAGAGAGAGAGAGAGGGGGAGGGGGAGGGGGAGGGGGGAGGGAGGGAGGGAGGGAGGGAGGGAGGGAGGGAGGGAGGGAGGGAGGGAGGGAGGGAGGGAGGGAGGAGAGAGAGAGAGAGAGAGAGAGAGAAAGTGAAAGAAAGAGCAGAAGAAATGAAAGAGAGACAACGAGAGAGAGAGAGAGAGAGAGAGAGAGAGAGAGAGAGAGAGAGAGAGAGAGAGAGAGAGAGAGAGAGAGAGAGAGAGAGAGAGAGAGAGAGAGAGATTGTGAAAGAAAGAAGAGCAAAAATGAAAGAGAGACAACGAAAAAGAGACAGTTTCCTTCCGAGAAAATAAGCAACAGCAACGATGGCGCAAGCAGATGCAACGAGAGAAGTACGCCCCGAGCAAAAGCAGAGAAGCGCCCGCCCACAGCCTGCGATGGGCGGAGGATTTTTATCACCGCCATGTTGCCGAGCAGTAATATTATTATAGCATGCATTTCCTCCCTTGCCAGAAGCACGTGACAAGTTCTGGCCACAGAATTTACAAGTATAGAACCAAGACCTTTGTTCATTTAGCTAAACACCTAAGCGAGTCTAGTTTTTCATGTATACCCACATATATGTCCTAGCTGCGAGAGATGGTGCATAAATCTCAAAGAAGGTATGAATATTGTGTTTCATTGTCTTTCTGCGCCGGAGAATACATAGATGCAAGATTAAGGTATACGCATTTGAGTCTTAAGAAGTTCAAATTCATATAAGAAAAGGGATTCAAAACGTGTGTGGCTTCAGGTTCAAGTTACAAGGTCGCGGATACTTTTATCAGAATGTTACAGCGTGCGTGATCTTCTCGATGCCAAAATAAACAAGATCCGTTTGATAAGAAAATCTAAATGTTACAACAGAAAGTAAAGTTATATATTTTGAAATTTGAAGAAATATGGCAAGCAAGTGGATGCTGAAAAATTATCAAATGAAAATTAGCACCGTAAATACTAATCCACGGGTAAGGGAGTTCAAATGAGCGCGCGTGGTGTTGGCGCTGTACGAAGGTTGAATAAAAAAAGGAAAATAAAAAGAGATAAAAAATGCTTTAATGACCTTGATTTACAATCAAAGGCTCTGCCAATAAACGGCAAGGATTGATAATATAGACACAAATGTATTTATGTCTTTAAAGCTTACATGGCATCCTTCACGTGTCACTCATTGGTGAAATAATAATGCGATGGAAAAAAATGGCACACGATCAGCAAAAGTCTACGGGAATGGCACGCCTTATTTAACTAATTGAATTTTTTCCAAAGCTCGTTATCCACTTACCTTTTTTCTATTTATGGATTATTTATGGATTATGGATAATATGAAAATGCAGATGGGTATGGAAATATGCGTATATGTAACTATATCTAATATACGGACTAAATTAATATACCTCTTCTATCCGTCAAAATTAGACAGGATTTTGATGTGCTCCTAATTGAGCTTCCAAGTAATTCATGTTAATCTATTAAATCATATCTTGGGTTAATATTCACAGTTCTTGTACATATTGAAATAATAATAATGATAATAGCAATACATCCGGAGAATGATCTTCGGTATAACAACATTGGGTAAGCAGTAAATGCGAAAAGTCCTTCAGCACATTCGTGTGTCTTTCTGCACTTCCCTTCGTTGTTCTTCTTGCAATTTGTTCGACATGAATTCCACACACACACACACACACACACACACACACACACACACACACACTCACACACACACATATACACACACGCGCACACGTACTCGCACACGCACACGAACACGCGCACGCGCACGCACACACACACACACACACACACATACACTCAGTCACTCATTCAAATACACACACACATGTCTATCTATCTATCTATCTATATATGGATGGATGGATGGATGGGTTGGTGGGCTGCTGGGTGGGAGGGTGGTTGTTTGAGTAAGTGAATTACTGAATTAATGGATGACTGGAAACATGGATGGATGGAGGAATTTATGAATGGGTGGTTGGATGGATGGAAGTATGAATGGATATAATGGACAGATGAATGAACTGAAAGATTAGTAGGATAAGAATCCCATTATCCATCATTCGTAAACAAATATTGCATTTACTATTAAGAACACTTCCGCAAAAAATAGACAAACAAACAAACAAATTCGAGTTGAAGAACGCCAATGAACGAAAAATTGACTCATCCAAAAGACATATTGGACTTCCCCTTAAATCGACACAATCAGTTTTAAAACTCCCAGAGGAAACGAAAAAAACACACGAGTAAAGCGAGTGAAGGACAGAAAAAAAGACAGTTAAGAATAGCAAATTTGAAACAAAAATACAGAAAAGAAAGAAAAAATCGCAACCGGAACCTCATCTCCACCCTCCCTCCCCTCCCCTATTCTCCTGTTTACACCCCGCCATCTGTCGGCAGGTTTTATAACACCCTCCTCGCATCTCCCTCCTGGTCTGTTTGCTTTCCTTTCCCGGTTATTATTTGTTTGCGTTTCCCCCGTTTTTCACAGGCTTGTGTGTAGTGCGGTAGTGATAGGTGGGGGAACTTCATCCGATGGTCGCCTCTTCTTCATCGGAGTTTATGAAATTTAATCAATCATCTGGATCATTTTCTTACTCTTGCAAACTTTTCATAGTATCCCAGAATACAAAATACGATACACAAGTTTTTTTTTCGCTTTATGTACACAGGCTACAATACTCTGAGTGTTTAAGGGGTACATGAGAGTGTTTACACATAAGGATGACCGCTGTTTACACTCACGGAGGCAATAACCAGAATATTGCTAGGGAAAAAAATCCTTGTCGGGACTTGTTTCTTGACTGTCAAAAAAGAAAAGGAAAAAAAAATCTGGCTGTCATGTCATGATGAAGCCTATGATAATGATCGACACTAAGAGGGAATGAAGATGATTACACTGATGCGTCGAATCTGATTATGGTCATGATATGATAGAAGGGACCAATAATAAGATGAACTTGTTGTTAAAGACAATGATAACATGTGTTGTAGATAAGCACATTGAATGAAGAAAGAGAATGAGCGACGATGATATTTAAAAGAAGGAAAGAGAATACAGACGACCCATGCATCGCAAAACCAAAAAGAAAATCATGGAAAATCAACGAGAAATCAACCAGCAACTTACCCTCTTGTCCTCCATGCCGGCCTGTGGGAGCTGCTGCAGGGAGAACTTCCTGCCCAGGGAGTGGGTGTGGGCGTGCGGCTGCTGTGTCTTAGGCTGCAGAGGCGGGTACTGGGCGTTGGGAGAGGCGGGCGTCGCGGGCGTGGACGTCGAATTCTTGGGCGGTGGGCGGGAGCGGTTGAGTTCCAGAATGGACTGTGGTAAACCGGCGCGGATGTCGTCATTTCTGAACAAGGAGAAAGGCGGAAGACATATTTTTACTTTTTTTTTAATCTGAGAAGATGTGTTTAATTGTGTTGTTGCAGAAGCAGTTGGTGTGTGCCAACATGACGGCAAGGAAGTAACATAGTACAAACAGGTATTACCAAGGAAGGAAAACGAAAGAAAGATTAAAACTCATAAATGTACGTCTTTATCTATCATAAAATTCTTTAGCCACATTACAACAGAAAATGCTAACATAAAGATCATAAAAATCAGATTAGACTTCTAGTACAGACATAGCAATTACTGAAAAAGAAAAAAAGTTTTCATTTGGATGGATGTGTTTGTTAACTCCGTAACAAACAAAACTCTCTCTCTCACACACGCGCACACACACACACACACACACACACACACACACACACACACACACACACACACACACACACACACACACACACACACACACATACACACACACAATCAATTACCCTTTCGCACAGTCTCACAGACAAATCTAGCCAACCAGTGCAACACACAATCAAGGGAAACAAACGAATACACACGTCTGGTCGCTGAGGTTGGGAAGGCTCGGGCTGGTGCTGGCTCTTATCAGCGCTTTGCTCGGCACGGAGTCACGGCTATCATTCTTCGCCGACGCTGTAATGGGAAAGATAAGAATGCATTTGCTGAGATTTAAAGTAGCACGTCAGTAGAAAAAAAAAGTGATCTTAAATAAGGAAAAGAAGTAGAGACTATAATGAGAGAACTGATGGGACGAAATTGTGGTCTGTGCATTTGAATGAAGTGTTTGTTTCTCCAAGTAAAATGTATGGTAATGTATAATAAAACTTTTAGGATATAGAACATGCATAACATACATAAATATGTGATCTTTTATATACAAAGGTTTCCTTAAAAATGAAAACAGTAACACATTGCAATAAACATGTAACGGAAACAATGTTGTGACTTAAGATAAAATCAGCCGTCCTTTGTGCAAATCTCCACGCCTTAAAGACCAAGAACTTGCATCCTTTTCACAGACCACTCTTTGGGTTTATCTATCATCTCATTCATTTCTATAGACTAGTTATATTTTTTTCTGAATTTTAGTTCGTATCCGTATCATTAATATGAGAGAGTGGTCTGTGAAGAGAATGCAATGTTATTGTTCAGGCGTTAAAATTTGCACAAAGACAGCTAATTTAACCATAAGTAATAAGTGCTGTTACCTTTTTTCATCTTCAAGGATGCCTCTGCATATAAGAGAACACATTTATAATTCGTATCTTCTACTTCAGTACACATTTCATTTGGTGAAACACACTTCAGTAAAAACAATGTTTCTTATATATAACTGAAAGCGAAGGCCTACATACTATCAAAACCGTGTATTCTGGGATGTAGATATAAAAGTTATTGGTAGACTAGATGTTGATTAACTGTAAAATGAGAGATCCTTTCTTTTTGAGGATTCACTGTTCCATTTCTCAAT